AAGTTTGTGAAAAATATTTCAAACTAAAAAACAAAATAACAAAACGCAAACCTAACCCCAATTAATAAATAACCAAAAAAATATATTCACAGGCAAACTGGAAGCAAACCAAAAATAAATAATTACAATCTAACATGAATCCAATTTTTTTTAAAAAAATAGCATCAATCATTTAAATATAATTTAAAATTATAAATTATAAATAATCTCGCGTAACCGCACGGGTCAAAATCTAGTTAATTTTAAATTGAAGAGTGCTTAATGCTGGATTAGTGCAGAAGCAAGAACTTGGACTAGTTGAAAATGAGAATCTGTATTAGTTTATATTTGTTGCTAACAAAAAAGGATTAGTTTATATTTAATCATTAACTATGCTAAGTTATGAGTACGCGGCCAAAATCACCTACAAATGTTATATTCAGAGGCGGTCCTTGCGCCAAACCAATGAAGTATGGATTTCCCGCTGTCAATAAAATAAGTAGTTAATCGGCACAATGTTGCTAAAGGTATCTGCATTCCAATGGTTAGTTGTTTTACTATGATATCAAGAGGTGATTGGTCTGAAACCTAAAGAGTGCATAATGATTTTTTTAAGTCTTTTTTGGTTTAGAGTTTGTGGCCTTCAAAAGTCTAGGACCAGCTCTAGTTATATTTAGTCAGTATTTAATTTGCTAAGTTATGAGATCGTCGCGAAATGGATTGACCTTTATTTTAGTGAATCTAATATATTAAAAGTCTCAACTTCTATTCATGTGTGATATTTTTTTTTAAAAAACTTCCTTAGAAAATCTTATTCCATTTATTTCTTATTAACATATTGACATCATTAAAATATCACATCTTATTTAATCAACACATATAACAAATTCACCTATAAATTTGTTTTAATTTTATTTCTAACTATATAAATTCTGTTGAAAAAAAAAAATCTAACAAAATCTTACAAAAAAACTTAAATATTTTTATATAATAATATATTAATTAATTTCGTAAATAGTAGTCTAAATTATTTGAAAATAAGAATATAATTATTTATAAAAAACTTCTTTATACTAAAACTATAGATGTTAAATTATGTATTTTAAACACAACCAAGAAATATAAATGATCATAAACAAATATCTATTATATTGCATAACTAAATAAAATTTAAAAATATTTTGCTCGCAAACTGTAAAATATGTATAAAACGTATAAAACATATTTTGAAAGGGGTTACCTATTTGATTATTTCAAATTATTAATTTGTTTACCGAATTTGAAATTATATTATTATATAATAACAGTTTCTGACAAGTTAAAATGTAGAAAACCTGTATGTATTAATAATGTCAAATAAATAAAACAATAAATTTTAGAGTTACATTATTTATAGCATTAAAATGTAAATCATATTTTAATTTTTTTACGTTAATATCAAAGTTATACGTTTATAATATAGGCACAAAAAATATTCAAAATTAAAAAAAAAAAGATTAAAATCTTTGTTAGATTTAGAAACGTAGATATGTTTTTTTAAGTATTTGTTTTATCACTTTTGAGAACAAGATAATTGAATTACTAATTAGTAATGATCCATATGATATTGGCATACTATATTGTCCTATTTATAAGATGTATTTTGTTTTAATAGATAAAAAAAATTCTATATTATTTAAATCCCAACTTAAATTTATATATGTTTGAATTACATAACATAAAAACTTATGTTTAAATAATATACCTTCAAATTTAACATATTAAAAAAAATATTATTTAACATTCAATAATTTATTTTATCATTTCTATATAATCTACTGCTAAATGCTTAAAAATTGTTGTATATGAATTTTTTAAATTTGTCATAAAATTCAAAAAATTACTAAACAATAATTTGTTCTTACTACTACTTATAACTTAAACTGAAATTAGATCCATTTATTAGATTTAATAATAGATAAGAAAATATAAATAATTTTTGCTATTTTGTGGAACTTTGCATATATTAGTTTGTCAGATAATTATACACAAATCCAACAAAATTATATATATATATATATGTATATATAATAAGTAGTAGCAAATACATGTGAGTTTAAAATAATTAATTAAATAAAACAAACAAACTATAAAATTTAGATGTTTAAAAAGTAATAGAAATAATCATATATATACACAAAATTAAAATAAACATGTGCACGATTGTCCAGGTCAAGTCCTAGTTATTTGTAAAAGTTTAAATTCATGTGAATCTTGAACTATATTCAAGCAAATAAAAGTCCATGCATATACTAAGCCTCGAAACACAACTCGTAGAAGCCCAATTAATATTAGTTAAATTAATACTTATTTAGTAGCCGACAAAAACAAAATTATATGATATTTTGAAATTTTAAGATAATTTTTGAGATTTTAAGTTTGACATTTATTTTATTGGAAACTATTTAACCAATAAAATTGTACTATTTTTTTCTTATAACTAAGTGAATAATTTTAAAAGTATATTTTTTGAAAAAATGTTTTTTTTAAAAAAAATTCATATTTCTTAATTGTTGTACATTAAGTCAAAACATTATATAAAAATAAACGGAGAAATGTTTCGTAGCCGGCAACTTCGTTATTTTTGGTATGATGTTTTAGGGAATTTTTATTGTTTCAATATATAAGATGTTTTATAGATAGTTTTTAGTTTTATTAAAACTGTATAATCAATAATATTTTATTTTTTATTTTATAATAATTAATAAAATTTTCATTTATATTTTAATAATATTCATTTTTAAAAAGTGACTTTTTAATAGTTGTATCTTCTCTATTAAAAGAGAAGTACAATTTTTATCTACTATAGAATAATCTTATTAGGTCCATATATTCAGTTACATTGTTTTGATTATTTACATTAGTTTATTTAATGTATAACATTTCTAAATAAATATAAAGATATTAATAACAAATTTATTGTAACTGTAATTTTAAATTTTAGTTTTAGTAATAACAAATTCTATTGAGAAAAAATCTAACAATTTTTAAAAAAAAATATAAATAGTTTTAATTAATGCACTGATAAAAAAAAATATAATATACTATATGCCAATTTTATAAATTTTATTAATATAGTCTATATTAAATTAAAATAGAAATAATAAATGAATTACATATAAAAATTATATTAAACTGATAAACTAATACATATTTAAAAAAAATCATTTAAATAAATAAATAAAATATCATTCACCATTAAGTGACTAAAATATTATTTACTTTTTAAAAAGATTAAACATTCGTAAATTATGTAATAAATTTACAGAAAATAAAATTGTTAACATATATTTAAAAAAATGAAAGATTGTCCACACGGATGTACGTGTCCAAAATCTAATATATGTTTTAATAGGCATGTTCAATCTGGTGTTCGGTCCGGTTTCGGTTCGGTTTTTTTCGGTTTTCGGTTATTCGGTTTATAAAAATTAGCTACCATATTGGAACCATATTTAATTTGGTTTGGTTCGGTATTTATACTACCGGTTTTTGGTTTATTCGGTTTTATACCAAATAACATTATTATTTGATTTGATTTCATATTATATGATTTTTTTTTTAAACATATTGTCAAAACTACCATTTATTAAAATAATCCTATGTGTTCATAAATATAAAAATGTGAAATTAACAACAAACAAAACGATCAACGATTCAGTTTTGTATAGCTTTTCTTATTTTCTCTTTGTTCTTCCAAATAAATTACATGGTACAATCTAATTTCACAATTTCTTACAACATGTAAAATCAAATCAAATTTAGATAATAGTTGAAAAAAATAAAATAAAATTATTAAGATATATCTTCACAAGGTATAAAAAATAAAAATAAAAAGACTATTGAAAATAAATGGTTATATAATGTATATATTTATATATTTTTCTTTGATCGGTTTTGTTCAGTTTATTCGGTTTAATCGGTTATAAACCTAACCATATCTAAATCCTACGGTTTTATAAAATCATATCCATTCGGTTTATATGGTATATAGCAAATCCAAACCATATTGTCTATTTCGGTTCGATTCGTTTCTGTACGGTTCGGTATCACCATATTGAACAGCCCTATATGTTTACAACATCGTACAATAAGAATCTAAGGTAACTTTTCTTAATGGTTGTGCTTATACTTTAAATATCATACGAAAAAAAACAAAGGGAATATTTACTAATAAAATATTCAACTAACATCATTCCGTTGACCCTCAAACGGTCTTCAATTCAATTCACTTCAATCCTTGATAAAAAAAAAAATTCACTTCAATTTGTTGTTCAACCTCCCTATCTTCCAACAACTCATCGAACAGTCCTTATGATTTTTCAAAATCCGTAACTTAGTCAAACTGCATTAACAAAAATTAAAAGTATTCCTATGGGTGGCAATTACTAATCACTAACCATATCATCGTTTTTAACGCTGATAAATGATAAAAATATCCTTAAATCAGTAATTAAAATATATATCTACTCTATTAAAATAGAGTCATTCTTTTTATCTAATTATACAAGTTGTCATTTAAATTTGGATCATTTATATAGTATTACAAATAATACAAGCCATATAGTTAATTGAACCACATTACTTAAATTAAACCGGTGATTATATATGGGATATAGTCTTGAGCTTACTTTTATTTTTAAAACAAATGATATGGTTTGGTTTTGGGCTTAATATTAAAGGAAAACTCCAAAAAACATTGAATAAACTTTCTATCTTAATGGATCAAAAAATCAATTATTATTTTCAGGTCCAAAAGATATTTAATATTTTTAACAAAACAAAATTATTTATTATTAAACATTTATTTAAATCATGTATTACATGTTAATGTATTTTTTATTTTAAATAACAATCACTTTTTTGAAATTTCAATGGTAACTTTTAAATAATTTATTGTTTTACTTTCCTTAAATAATTTATTGAGTTAAAAAAAAAAAGCAAAACCAAAAATCAAATCTAAAAACTAAATCCAAAACCAAAAGCTGAAAACGTAGGTTATATTTTTTGCTTTTGTTTATTTACAAAATAAACTATTGCAATTTTTTTTTAAAAAAATTTCATTTTTTTGTCAAACCTCTTCCACGATAGTAAGATTAAAATCCATTCGAAGACAAAATTCTAAAATACAAATCAACCCATGTATTACAAATCTATACCAAGCTAATTAATTTCATTCTCCTCCTAATTGTCAAATTCAAGCCGAGCCAAACACCAAACTTGGAGAAATGATCTCGTGCATCGCGGACTTCTGGTGACGGTGCTCCCCTTCATAAGTCACAATCAGCATCTTTGGATCATCCAATGCTCGTTCCACGTGTTTTCTCGCTGGGCACCCTCTAAACGTACTACACTTGTAATAACCCCTGAATCAAAAACAAATCACCACCATTAGATCTCCGGGAAGTTCAATCAATTAACAATATCAACGATGAATATGCGAGGGTGTACAATAGTTACCGTGGGTGTGGTGAGCCCTTGATCGGTTTTTGTCCGTACTTCCTCCATGAATACTCGTCAGCTGGAATATCGGCGATCTTTGAACTTATCGCCGGTACTCTCACGATTCTCTTCGTCCGATTTTTCCTGCTGTAATTATTAATAATTTTAGTTAACTTAATGATTTTAACAAACACAAAATTTAAAGTAAGTCAACGGTCAAAGAAAGACTTTTTAAAAACTTTAAACTTCCTATACAAAACGACAAGACCACCACTAACTAGTCATCGTCTGGCGTGCATCCGGGTTTTAAGTTAATGTCGTTGACTTTTTATTCCAACTACGTTGACCGACTGGTTAAGCTAAAACCGGCTTAGAAACCGAAATTTCTATTTGCTCCACGAATCAACTATATTTTGATTGATCTACTACTAGACTAGTCAAAGTGACTATGAAATTAAATGGCGTTGATTTCACCAAATACCTTGACCTTTTGTTTTAGACTATACCAAACCGGTTAAGAAAACATCAAACCGAAATTTATTTTATTACTAGTGTTTCGCAACAATACCTTTTCTTGCAATGACATTTTCCGCTGCCTGAGCCCGAGATTTTACCGGAAAAGTTCTCAGAGTGGTGATGATCAAAGCATCTCTTTCTGTAAGGAAGACCGGCAAGCGGCGGTTTCCCGGAGGAAGCTACAGGAGCCGGAGCTAGGAATATCGAAGATCCTTTAGATACGCTCCCGTCGCCGGTGATCGCCGAAGACATGAAAGAAGAGTTCGAGGAGACACTAAAGCTCTCCTTCGCAAACTCCACAATTTCCGAGCTCTTGGTTTTGGCGCCAAACACGCTTGGTCTGGTGAAATCTAGCGTCACGCTTTGCTGATGCGAATGAGCGAAGCTCGTCGGAGAAATCACCGGAGGCGCCGGATGAGGAGGATCTGCGGCGGAGGAGGAAGATGAAGGAGGGGAATGAACCGGTCCGCGTCTAAACCGGGCGTGACCGGTCCGGTTAAGGAGAGAGATTACTTTTTTGAATTTGGAGACGGTGAAATCGGTTATGTCGGAGCAGTCAACGTTACGGTCTTCTGGACGGTTAGAGAGGACATGGATCAGGTGTTCCATGCTTTTTAAGCCTTGCGATGCAGCTTCCTGTATAGCTGTTTGGTCTTCAATCTTAGATAAACGCATGATATCGACGGTCATGATGAAAGTTATCAGAGAGAGAAAGAAACGTTTGGTCTTCAATCTTAGATCTGGAAAATATTTTATGTTTTGATGATGAGAGAGCGAAAGTGGAAGATGAAGGAATGACTTGATATATAGGGAATGGGATGCAACCAGGTGACCGGGAGATCAGGTTAGAGTTTTTTAGTCAAAGTGTATTTTTGATCTAACGGATGAGATTAAAAGATTTATGTGGAATAAAGCAAGCAAATATGTTGGTCTTCTCGATGTTAAGTGCGTGGGGTCCTCTTGATTGCAAAGCAATCTTCAAAATAAAGGGCCAGAAGAGACTAATTTAACATTTGTTCTCTGTAGTCCTCTAATTTTTAAGTTTACCAAGTTTCGAATTTGTATTGTCTATAGATTTCATACTTTAAAACCCCCAAATAAAAAGTAAAGAAGAAACATAAAGTTAAAGACAAAAAAAAAATTAAGACAACTATGACTTTTTCTCAGATTTTTTTTTTGTCATCTCTCAGATCTATTTAGTATATAATAATTTTACTACTACTATCAATTTGCTTAAGATTTCCTACTATTTGTATATTAGGTGTGATAGAATAATATTAAAGCGTTGACAAAAGAATAATAAATGTTCAGCTAGTTATGAAATTTTTTTAGAAAAACAAAACAGTGATTTGACTTTTGATTATATGTATATGTCCTGCCATTCTGCTCATTTGCATTAAGCAAAGTTATAGGCAGTATTCATGTTTATCGTCAATTAGCACCACAACTTGTCAATATGCTATGGTGCACATGTTCAAACAATGTTTCTAAATTTATTACTATTTAATGCAACATTGACAAAATAAAATATAAATAATTATGTATTTGTGGTAAAAATACTTAAATGTATAGATAGACGACTTTAACTTATATTAGCAGTATTTATCATCACAATTTTAATTATATAAGGTTTAAACTAAGTCCGTAATACATAAAAAAAATTATACATAATTAGAAAATTGGGATATGTTTGTAAGACTTTTACTTATATTATATTCTAAACAATAATTTCTAACCAGATTTGGCCTTAAATTGTATTGACTGGGAAACTAATAGATGAAAATAATCATTTCTTGACTTTTTAATTTACCTAACTAATCTACACAGATTGTGGAACAATTAAAATCATTAATAGAAATTAAATGTCATAATAACAGCAACAATCGTTGACTATTTGCAATAAGTAAAGTCTACTAGTCTTTCTTTAGTTGAGTACAGCGATGATAAAGAAAACGACAAAGTAGGAAAAAGAAAAAGCTGACTAAATAAATCAAATAAAAGTATCACATGGACCCATTTTCTAAAAAGCACATAACTATTGACCAACTTGGTGACCGAATGTTCCCGTTACTAGATATCTACACCGTTGATATTCAAAAGTAGGATCCAACGGTGGATCTGTAAACTGTGGAGTTGACTCTACGATACTTATTGTTCTCTTTAACTTTTGTTTTTATATAGGAACCAAAACAATATCTCCACCACGACATATGGCCTTTTGACACGTGTCTTTAGGCTGACTCATACGTTCTCACCCGTCCAAAGTAGGATCCGACGGTGGGTCTGTAAACTGTGGAGTTGACTCTACATTACTTATTGTTCTCCTAAACTTTTGTTTTTTATGGGAACCTAACAAAAACTTACCACCACGACATATGGTCTTCGGACACGTGGCTTTGAGCTGACTCAGACGCTGTCACCCGTCCCCAGTTTTCTTTGTAAGTTAGAACTAGATTTTTGATCTGAGCAAGTACCATTTTTATGTTTTATTTACAAATGGATCCATAAGTTTTTTTTTTTGTTTTGATGAAATAAAATTTTCTATGTAAATATATTATATGTAGATTTTAATTTACTACTATCATCAATATCTATGTAAATATATTATATGTAATTGTGTACCTTCATTATGGAAAAATAATAGAAAAATTGTCACTCTAAGGCAGTTTTATGTTTTTAATGTCATAAATAGACAGTTCCTGCTACATAGACACTTTCTGTTAACTATGTCCCATTCTTCTCGTTATCCTAGACCAAATAGTTAGCAAATCAGTAACTATAGATTTTGTCTTAGCGGGAAAAAACCTAAGCCCTCCATCTATCTCCTATCTGACGGCCTAGATTAAACCTTTCTTTTTGATTAGACAGATATCTGTCTGCATTATCAACCATTGGATTAGATCTAACTTTTGTTTCAACGGACGAGATTTTATGTGTTAGATAAAGTTATCTTCCCATCTCCTTTTCCAATTTTCTACGGTTCTTCTTTTCTATCTTCACCTGAGTCCGATTACTGTTTCCAAACAAAGGTTTGTCTTCTAACATACAATTAACATAATCGACCATCCATTAATCTTTGTTCTTATCCATTCTCAGATCACCATGGTTGACCATTGCATGGTCATCCCCGGTCAATGGACAACCGTCGGCGCTCTTTGGGAATTTGATATCGATAAAAAAAGAATGTCTCGGATAGTCCCTCTTCGCGCTGGTATGACTTTGGCTGAACTACAACACAATGTCTCAAAGGAGTTCTTCACTTTTACTGCCCCTGCTCCGCCATCCGTTTTGAGTTACTGGCCTCCTAATACCAAAGAGCTCGCTACGGGACTTACAACTCCACCGGTATTGTTGACAAACGACGGCGCCGTCTCATATTTCTTCAACCACCTAGCAGTTCACAAGACCATGAATCTCTTCGTCACCTTTGATACAATAGAAGACCAACCAGAACCTACCCCTCCCGATTCGAATCCTATCCGTTTCTCCACACCTAACCAACCTATAAAGCCTAACTTCTCCTCATTTCGCCCCAGTTCCACCGGTTCCTCAAGAAACCCGTTTTCCCTCTTTGATGACGACGAGCTACTAGAAAACATACCCCTCGACCCTCGTGCTGAGAAAACCGTTCTTCATTCACCCGACCTATGTCCTTCTACCCAACGGTCTAAATCTAACCGAGTATCCATTGAAGACGAAACTATTTCATGCGCAGATGAAATGCTTCAACAGATGTTTAATGAGGACCCCGACAACATCCCTGATACTTGGATTCTTGACGATGATGAGGACACTGTCACTGAGGATTCCCAACCACCAGAAATTGAACCTGTCCCGATTCGTGGTTACGACCATGATTTTTGGGATCCTTTGTTGGAGGACACACTCGGTGGATCCGATGCACCTGAGATCATGGCGGGTATTCATGTACCCAAAACAGCCCCACAGACCTACACTTGCTCCACCGGCGATGCCTTCGCTCATAATGTTCGTGTTTCAGGCGAAGATGATACAGACTGGAAGAAAGATCTTGATTTTCTCGGTGTCCACCAGAAAGAAGGCCCACCTGTACACGCTGGAGGTTCGCACACGCGGACACCAAATAAAACTACGTACACTCCTCCCACACGTGGACATTCGATCTCGTCCACACGTACACCTACAGTCGTCCATACCACACCCGTCGCAGGTGTACACAAGTCCGCTTCGTCCACCTGTACACCTGACAGCCTTCCTTTCAGCCGTACACCAATAACCCCCACCTCTCACCAACCTCGTCCTGCTACCCCACCGCCACGGGAGACCAGACCTCTATCCGAGATCAGCGATGACGAATTTGATATCCCTCCTCTTTTCGACGATCTTTCTTACGAGGCTGATGATGTTCCAGATCTGAACTTAGATGATACAGATGGGGAACCTTTTGTTGGAAAGATATACGCTACCAAAAAAGATTGTCAGATTGGCTTAGCTATCTACGCCATCAAGAAGCGCTTTCACTTTAGACAAACACGTACCACAAGGGACTATTTTGTTCTCAGTTGCCACGACACTCACTGTGATTGGCGCATACTAGCTAAAGAGCTCACAAACTGTGGTTACTACACTATCAAGAAGGCCCAGCTAAACCACTCATGCCCGTTGGACCAGCGTGATCAATACAGAGCTAAGGCCACATCAAAGGTCATAGCTCATATATACCGTTCCCGCTACAGCGAACCCAACAACGGTCCTAAAGCTGCTCAGCTGCAGCAACTTGTTTTGGAGGACTTGCGTGTCTCAGCCTCATACCAGAAATGCCACAGGGCAAAAGAACATGCTGTAGACATCACTGTTGGTAACGCTGAGGATTCATATCTTAACCTTGCTGACTACTTTGAGAGGCTCAAACACACCAACCCGGACACCGTAACCGCTATAGAAACAGAACTTGATGTTTTTGGCAAGTCTCGATTCCTCTATGCCTTCCTCGCTTTCGGTGCTTCAATTCTGGGATTCCGCAGACTCAGACCTGTTCTCATAATTGATGGCACCCATCTGTCAGGGAAATACAAAGGCGTCCTCCTCACTGCTAGTGGCCAAGATGCAAATTTTCAAGTCTTCCCTCTAGCTTTTGCTGTTGTCGATGCAGAGAATGACAACGCTTGGGTCTGGTTTCTTACCAAGCTTGAACGGATTATTGCAGATTCTAACAGTCTCACTATTATTTCAGATCGTCACATTTCCCTTCTCAAAGCAAAGGCAATAGTCTTCCCCAAGTCCCACCATGGCGCATGTATTGTGCATATTATGAGAAATGTAGTTTCTCGGTACAAGAACAAGGGTCTTGCCAAACTTGTATGTGCTGCTGCTTTTTCTTTTAAGCGCAAAGATTTTGACAACAACTTTGGGAAAATAAAGCAAGCCAATCCAGCATGTGCAAAATACCTTACAGACATTGGCACTGCTAAATGGAGTCGCACTTATTTCCCTGGCAACCGATACAACCTCCTCACCAGCAACGTTGCCGAGCAGCTTAACAATGCCTTGTCCAAATCTAGGGCGTCCCCAATTGTCGAGCTTTTCATGTTCATCCAACGGATGCTAACACGCTGGTTCTCAGCAAGGAGAACAAAGTCCGCAAAACACAGGGGGGCAGTCACCCCTGAAGTTGCCTCTGTCATGGATACCCACATGAAGCTTACCAAAGGTAGTTCAATTGCAAACATCACAGACTGGAGCTACCAAGTTAAGGGAGTCTTTGGCT